CAAGAAGATATTATCAAAAAATCATTACAGAAATGAAGAAACTAAATGGCAGATTGAAATCTGCCTCATGACAAAGGAAAAGCAGGACTCCCCCAGTGAGCCATGGCTGTGGAGCTCCAGGGTCTTCTCCCCAAGGCAGTGTTGGAAGGTAGAAAGTAAGGCAGCTGCACTTTCAAAACTATAAGTCTCCGAACCACCCATCAAATGTGTATGTAGGATAAAAGATGTTTGAAATGCCTAGTGTCTCTAATTAATTGCTATCCCATGCACCTTTCTCAAGAAGCAAGTAAACAATAAGTCCCATCAGAAATGGAAAAAAAGCAAGAAAGAAGTACATCATTTGATTCCATAAATAGCTAGCAAAAGCACAGACGCAAGTCAAAAGGAAATCAAAGGACAGTCCTGTGTCTTAGTTCTACAGAGCCACCAGCTCCAACTGGGACATGAGCAGGGGGCATTCCAAGTGGTGTACCATCAAGGGGGAAACAATGACAGAAAAGACAGATTTACCGATAGATCGGACTCTGTGGACAGTAGTGCTATGTGGCTTTTTTCCCCACAAATATGTTGGTGGCAAATGAAGAAACCCAACCATCAAAGCAATGAGGTCATCGTTAGGAAAATCAATTATGCATCTCGTGGTTCAGGAGTGAATCATAAAAATATAAATCACTAATAAGACTCAACCATGAGTTGCTATATGCTGGGGAACGACAAGTAGAGCTAGACGACAATTATATTTTCATTATCACTTAGGGAAATGAGCAGCTATTATCCTAAGTCCATGACCTGAAAAGCTATGGTAAAGCCATTATTTGGAAATGTAAATGCAAGTTCCGGGAAGTAGGAGAACACACCGAAAGGAGTTACATTGGCATAGCACAAGCTGGAAAATTTTTGAATGGTCAAAGCCACAAGATTTGAGGACAGCTTTGTTAGTAAGGCATTTGACTACTCTCAGTGTGTAATCTTTGAATACTGCCTTTCTGAATGTGCTACTCATTCATGTGAATTTTGTCTCTCTGCTTACAAAATGAGTTATTTTCTATATCTGAGCAAAGATTATACTCTTAAGTTGTGCACAGAAGTGAGGTTTTTCTCCTAAAAGAAAAGAGAAAATATACTGTATAATGCCCAGTTTCAACGCTAATTATGAATCTGCACATCAAAATTTGAAACCACTTAAAAAGTCTTAATGGCCAAGGTCTCTTTTTCTTGAAGCAAATCTAAATAGCTGAATCTATATTTTAATTGCAAGTATTATGCATTTCATTTGCTACAGGAATATGAAATTTCTCTTCCTGTGAAAGCATAAACGCATCATGAAATGACTCGTGAGACCAGTAATCAGTGGTGTTGGATTGTCATTTTCTAGAGAAGCATAATTTTTTTTTAAAAAAGTCACTAAATGTGAGGAGAATCAGTGAGTTTTCTGGTATATAATGGTATCTGAACAAGATTTTTGGGGAAATGTTTCATTTAAAGAGTTCTATTTAAAAAAAACAAACCAGAGATTACATTGTCACTAATGTAGTAAAACTAGTAATAAGAGTAAGCAATTCTGTCTTCTCCTTATTTGCCATTTTCTCTTTGAGCAAATCAATATTTCATAGCTTCCTGTAATCCTCAGGCATTTTCATCTCTCACTTCTCTTAAGAGTTCCATAAACCTGCCCACCCACACTCAGGTTTATTCTTATTCTCGTGTCTTCATATAGCAAAGGGATCAAGCCAAAGGAGATTCAGACTACACCTTATCCATGAGACCTGCAGAAAGCAAATTCCCAATATTTTTTTATTGCAAGGTGGACTTGAATCCTCAGTTTAAAAAGAGTAATGTAGGGCTGGGGAGATAGCTCAGTAGAATAAGAGCTTCCCTGACAAGCACAAGGTCCTGAGTTCAATCCCCAGTACAATACTGAGGGGAAAAAAAGAATAATGTGAAACATAATTGTAACATACAGTTTATATTAAAGAAAACATGTACATCATGAAATTTTTAAAACTGGGTATTTTCATTGTTTTTTTTTAAAGTTCTTTCAGCCAGTAGTCAGTGCACACGGCGGCATCTCATGTAGCTTTTGTCCACAGATCTTGGACAATAAGAATGAGTATTTCAAAGACACCCAAAGAATGTGAAGTTCCAGAATAATGAAAATGAAATTTTAAATTTAGTATCATTAAAAATGGAAATTAGAGAATTTTATTTCAACCAAAATTTTTCATTTGAGTCTCGGTTTAGCAGAAAATCATATTTCCTCCACTTAAAATATTATTTAGGGTTGGCCAGATAGCTCAGTGAACTAAAGTGCCTACTTAGGCAGAGCACAGCGGCTAGGGGTTTGATCCCTGGCGTGCCATGCCGGCCCCGCTCCCAGGGCTCGCTGAGATGGCTATTGAGACTGGGCATTGTCGCACGCGCCTGTAATCCCAGCTCTTGGGAGGCTGAAAACAAGATATTCACTATGTGTCCAATCTGTGTAGTGAGACCCTGTACTAAATGCATAAAAACATTTTTAAAAATTTAGAAATATTATTTAATAATCCTTATTCCTCTGAAGTTACTTTTACTCAATTATATCTTCATACAAGTTGGTCGATCAGGCCAGCACATTAGGGAAAGGGTTGGCTTGTTTTTCTTTCCTTTAGACTTCCAAATCCTGCTGATTGGGTGTCTTAAATACTCACATGCTTAACTATGTTCCTCCGCCTTTCCCACTGATATTTCTACCGTATACACCTCTAATATCCTGCCATGGACACAAATGACATAATTACGCATCTCTCTCTACCTCTTCTGGCTTAAGAACAAGTTCTGGCCTGGGACAAGTTTCAGTCCTTGACATTCAAGGAGATGTCAAGACTTTGTGATTGATGGCCCCTTCCCTTGCATGTTCCCGTATTTACCTTAATTTTCCATTGCGTTTACTATCAGTAGTAGGTTAGCTGCAATCTCTTGCTTACCCCCATGCTGCCTGTCCTGTTCCCAACCTGGCCTGCTTATGCTTGTGTCTATGTCCTAGTCAGATTTGAACTTTAGGGAAAATTCATGGGAAACTGTAAGCACCTTGCCCATGTGCTTAGATTCTGGGTGTACTTCCATTTGCAATCATCAATAGATAGATGATGATAGTAATTTTATTTTATTTTATATTTGTTTATTTTTACATTTAGTACAAGGTCTACAGGGTCTCACTACACAGGTCAGACTCATAGTGATCCTCCTGTTTTTAGCTTCCCAAGTGTTGGGATTACAGGTGTGTGCCACCACTCCGAGTTCCAGTCACCTTCTCAGCATACTCCAGGGAAGGGGCAGGCACAGCATGCTGGGTAATAATTTAAAAAAACTAAAAGCTTTTAAAATGATGCAATGCTATTTTAAAAATTGAGAAAACTCAAGTTAATTGAATATTTTAGGGTACTTAACAAAACACAAGTCAGTAATCTAAAATTTGCTGTGTCCTCAAATTTTTGTAATATTAAAAATCATGAGTAAAATTATTAGTATACCTTCCAGTGCAAAATGAATGGATCTAATTTCTTGTTAAGCATTTAAGTATGATTTGCTCCAACATGCAATTCTAAAACTTACCAAAAGTTCACATCAAATTTTTTATTAAATGCTAAATAACAAATGATAATAATTAAACAGGAATAAAAAGTTTTGTTGAAACAACTAAAGAGATGCTCTTGGACCAGATATCTTTACACTTGCTTAGTGTACACTACCTCATATTCTCAAGATTACATATAATGCTTTAATAAGGTATTATTTCACCTCCCCTAAAAAAATCTAAGAGGTTGGCAAAGGAGATATCATCACCCCCTTTACATAGATAAAAAAAAAAAACATCATTTATCATTTATGGACCCAGAATTAGAATCTGTTACTTTTGGCCCAAGTTCTAAACTCTGCTCCCATAATTATACCACTTATGTGCTGTAATCCTGAAAATTCAAAGTACTAATAATACTTTTTGTGTAACAATGCTCTCTTCATGCATTCTAAATTTGAAATACAGATAATTCCATGAAGATTGCACATTAGAACAAACACACTAATATGATAATTAATTTATCACATCACTTTCCTTAAATCAGCAAGCGTGCATGCTCAGTGAGGCTTTGATAGGCATGAGGAGCAGAGGAAACAGAACACAGGAAGCAGCCGATATGCCCGCCAACGGATGAATGGATACAGGAAGTGTGATATGTGTACACAGTGGAGATCTGCTCTGCCACAAAGAGAAACTTGAGTCATTCATAACGAAATGGATCAAGCCTGCAATCATAAGGTTGAGTGAAGTGACACACACACACACACACACACACACACACACACACACTGAAATGCTCCATGGTTTCTCTATATGAGAAACCTACACTTTAAATAGAGAGCAAAATAAAAATATGTAATAGGAGTAGGGTGATAGGCCTTTCTCAAATGAAAAGAGAATTAAGAGACAGAAGAAGGACTGGGAAACAGGGTGAGGTGGACAGGAGTTAAGATGTATTATATACACATACCAACTCCACCCAAGGGATGTAAGCTTTAGAGACTCCAAATATGTCCTAGTAGAAATAAAACCAAATGAGAAAGGAGAACCTACTAGGACAACTGTATTCTGAATCATTTTCTTGCCACATGCACAGAAGAAAGCCTCTTTCTAACCCAATATTCCTTTGTTTAAAAATGAGCTCTTTTCTGTGTTTAACAAGTAATAATAAAAATGATTGTTATTTAATCTTTGTGCATTTCATAGTTAAGTGCCTTATGTTTTGATAACACCTTATAGTTTCTAACAGTCATACATACACACCACTATTCCATTTGATTCTTGCAAAAGACATGTGGTTTGCTTTTGTATAGAAGAGTCAAAGCCTGGAAAACTTATTGTCTATTCAGAATTAGAATCATATTTTCTGGGCTCTAAAACCTCCCCTGTTTCCCAGCCCCACAATATTTATGTTCACAGAATGACTTTCTCAGAGGATACTCACATTTCATCAAACCTTGGATTTCATAAATAGGCTTGAGAACCAAAGCACCATAAAAGTCTTTAGGGAATGGATTTGTTGAATCCCACTTATTAACAAAATCTGTAAGTTTCACAGTTCGGGTTCTGTTCTTGGGGATCTTCCATTCAACGATCTCCTTTAATGTATAAATATGGTCATCTTCACATTCATAGAATTCTCCCTCTTGTGTCACAGGCAAAGTGAATGAGTGATCTTGGTGGTTCCTTTCTATGATGCAGTTTACCACTAATTCTCCATTGATGTCTTCAACTGAGTTGAGCATGATTTGCTCACCCTGCTTTATGGTGAGATTCTCCAGTTTCACATCCTTCTGATGGTAGAAGCAAGGATGCCCAAGTCTACTGGGTCCAATCTGGGTTGTTCTTGTTATTTCCTCCATAGTGAGGTAGGGAGTTTTATCAGCCACTATCTTAAAGAGACCTAAGAACAGAAGTGAATAAATCAAATCGTGATCATAAAATCAATATTTTCATAAGAAAATCACAACATTAAATCATAAAACAAGTATGATGGAGCTTTCAAAAGGAATAAAAGATTAATTTTTATAAGATTAGGGACAATTGTTTTGACTTCTACTCAAAAGTCAACATTCTTGGGCTGGGGAGATACCTCAGTGGTCTAAGCACCTGCCTGTAATCCTAGAACTGGAAAGGCTGAGACAGAAGGATCACTGTGAGTCCAAACTGCATAGTGAAACCCTGTACCAAATTAATTAATTGATTAAATAAATTTTTAAAATATATCAACATATTTGTACACTACTATGGCATTAACTACACAACATAAATTTTTAAAAGTGGAAGAAACTATCTTGAAATGCACATGCTTGTTCTTAAAAAGGGAAAATCTCGATGAGATATGAGAAATGGAATTTTTTTCTGTATTTTTTAGGGAAGGGTCTACCAGGTGTTCAGGGTCTCATTACTAGACTGGACTCATAGTGATTCTCCTCTTTACAGCCTCCCAAATGCTGGGATTACAGGCACGCCACCACACCCAATCTCATTCGCTGTCTAGGCGTGCCCAGGGGGCTGGGCAGGCACAGCAGGCTCCATGAGAAATGGAGTCTTAAGGAAAGCAATTTAAAAAATTGACCTTTTTTTTTTCAAGATAGAACATTAGATTAGATTAAGTTTTCAATGAATACATTCTTTAGACACAACCAAAAGGTGTTCCAGGAGGAAAATGATTCATAATCAAGTCAATCACTGAAAAGTTATAGAGACAATGGGGATGGTTATTCAATATTGTAAATGTAGTAAACATCAATAAATTGTACACATTGAAATGATAAATTTTGTTATATGTACTTTCTCATAGCAAAAAATATCTGCATAGTTTTTATTAAAGTAAAATTTCTCATAAAGTGAGTTTGCTCTCTAATTCTTAAAGAGAAGTATGATGTGCAGAATTTTACAAATATATTCCTTATAAAATTATTCATGAAAGCACTTTAATAAATCACAATATATTTGTGGTACTCATAACACTCCTTGGAAAAATATTGAATTATAATTTTTTGGATAAAATACTCTTGATAATATATCATTCTTTCATTTTTATTATCTTTCCATTAAAATTTCACTATTGCATTTTTTCCTTTACTAATTTCATTAATTGAAGTATTTCTCCAATACTATCAGCATAATCACAGTTACTATTAAATGGCTCTCCTATTTAAATGACTCTGTTCCTACAGACATATCTGTTTTGTGTCACTTTCCGTAACTCATTTACTAAATAGATTTTATTGATTCTAGAGGAAATAACATCAAAGGAAATTGTAATCAGTTGATTTCTCAAAGAAAAGGTAAATTTATGATAATATTCTTACTAATGCTCTAGAAGAAGATGGTTATTTAAAGGCTGGGTGGAAGGACCTATCTCGGAAAAATCCCTTACTAGTTACTCAACAAATGCATTCTAATTAAATTCATCTAAAAGGCCAATTCTTTATTAAGAAGGTTGTAGTATTTTATGTATAGCTAGACTAACATTAAAGTGTTTTGCTTATCAACTATTTCTATACTCTATTTTTGTTCTAACAGTGAGTTTTATTTTTTATATTAACTCCCTGAAGAACTGTGAGTGACTCTCCGTCTTAATCAGAATGAGTAAGACACCATGTGTAGTCTCTTCTGAGAACCTTTAGAAATTGAAAATCATAGATCTGCTATGTGCATGCTTGAAGACAGTAACGTAAAGAAAGATTTACTTTGAAAGAGCTCCTTGTTTTATTATTTCTTATATCAGGTAAAATCCAATGAGTAACATTCTAGAATTAAAAAACGTGAAATGGATCAAATACATGTTTGATCCATTTGTCAGGCATAATGACTCACTTTTCAAACCCATAATCATCACTAGGATAAAAAAAAAAAGCATAGTAGTTTTTGTAAAATACACTTAAAACAATAGTTACCCAGAATTTCATGAAAGGAACAGTACATAGTTTTATTTCCATTACAGCTATATTGATTATGTTAGTCACAGAAGAATTAATTCAGTATCGTCCTTCTTGGGGAATTGAATTCACCCAAAGTAATAACAGACCTAAAATATTATGAAGCTGAAACAACCTTAAACCCAAAGGGCTACTACTATTTTAAGTTAATCACTCTCTTCAGTGCTATATTGTTGGATGCCTCTATTACAGGAAAAGTGTATCTATGAACCTGTGTGTTTTCTCGTAGAAGATGATGCAGTACACAGTTTAGCATACGAAGCAGCAGGGTGCAGGAGAGCTATTTTGCTAACACATATTCATATACTATTGCAGGCAAGCAGAGAGTAAAATTCAATACCACACAAAATAGGGCAGACATGATATCACGATGGATATTCACTTTCGCAATGAAATAAATAACAGATGAATTCAAAACTCCACAGCACTGATCAATTAAATTTCCAATCTTTCCTTCAACTTTTTTAGAGAGAGTTTAATGGTTGAGTATTAAGGAAAATATGCTCTACTATTCTTTCAAAGGAAAACAACGTATATTGGATGGGTTGAATAATTTCAAAGGTTATTACACAGTAGCACAACATATGATGTTTAGAAGAAGGGAAACAGTTTCCACTGTTGTTTGTTAGTTACTAAAATGAATTTATTGATATTTTTAAACTCAGAGAAATTGTCAATGAAGAACATGTCATTTATGAAACAAAAAACTGTAAGAAAATGCAATGAATTAAAGCATTGAAAACCAATTAGTAAGTGGGTATGGTCCTTTAAATCTTTTTCTAAATAATTAGATTTTGGGAGAGTTGATGCTTTTAACCAATTCTTAATGCTTTTCAATCATTATTATTAATAAAACAGTAATAACTGAAATTTGTTTGGAAATTTACAGCTTTAACTGTTTCCTGTGCATCACTTATCTTCGCAATAGTCTTCTGAGGTCAGCCAGATGAATATTATTACTGAGAAATTCAGAGAGGGCCATGATGTTTACAGATGAAAATCATGGCTCTCAAATCACAAATCAGAGCTCTGACCTCTAAATATTGTACCTCGCCACCATGCCAAGTGGCCTCCTTACTGCACTCAGGGTTTGGAAGGCCACCTGCCCACGAGAACAGCGGGCTCCCTCTGCGTCTCTAACCTGGAATCTCTGCATGCTCAGCCTCCCACAAGGGCCCAGTGAGCAAAGATCCCGTCACTGCCTGGCTCACTGTGTGCAGGTCAACTCAGCATATCCTTTCTTCTGCTTTTTTTTTATTTCTTCATCAATTTACACCCACGTGACAAATAACTGTAAAAGTAAAATTCCCTGACAATATAACTCATACTCAGCATAAGATCATTGTGAGAATTACAAAGTCCTTTGTCTCGCTGGTCTAACCCACTTTTACAGCTGCAACCAAATCTATTTTTTCCATCTGAAATACAAAATCTCATAGTGAACTTTGCTTACTAATTCTTGTCATCCTCTCATATCAACAAAAATTACAATTATTCAAATAATAGCTTCTTGGCACACTCTGGCCATTACATGTGTGACACAACTTTATTTTAAAAATAGTAATGTGAGGTTATTCATTAATAGAACACATACAATTTATGGATAATGATATGAACTCTGAGGAGATGACATAAATTGAAGCTGACAGAGATGATTTCAAGCAGGGTGTCTTCCTCTCTTCTGGATACAGGAGGATGCATGACTTTGAAAACCTACTATAGGAAGGTGCTTTTCCTGAAAGGGAAGACAAGGCTGGGCTCTGTTCTCACCTATACTTATGTCAGGTAAACAGGTTTCTAGAAGACATTATTGCAGGCTTTAACTAAAGTGACTGTCATAAAGTACATGAATGGCTTTGTACATGTCCTGCACATAAACTGTACCTTCAGAATAATACAAACACAAGTAAACAAAAACAAAAATGAGAATTGTCCCTTGTACTGAGGCTTTCCTTCAGCCAGACTGTGAAGTGAGACAGTCACATGGGATCCTAACAAAATACACAAATTGGCTGAAACGTTAATACTGCATGTTATCAAACTATGGATTTATATTCATTATCTTAAAGAAATTTGCCTTTGAGATACAAGTAAGGACAAGAAAAGTAGACACAAACTTTTCCACAAACAATCTCAAACAAATACATACACTTGAGATGCATTTAAAAATGTCTAAAGGACTGAAGCAAATGAAGGTTTGGAAACAAATCCTACTTTGACGTATTTCTCATCTGAAGTCTTCTCTCGCCATTAGGGAAGCTGAGTGTCTTGGCTGCTTTTGTGCATGCCTTACTGCCTTTTAAAAATACTGTCTGCCATCAAATTCCTGAACAGCCATGTTATTATGTATTTGCCTGTTAGGTGTCTGATTTCACATATTTCTTATAGCATTTTGTTGTACTCCCAAGGTGGTTCTTATGTTGGGATCCTACAAAAAAAATGTCTTCTTCGGAAATTCTCCTAATCTAGAAACCTCAGATTGAAGGGGCATGCATGCAGCACTCTATCCATCGAGACACTTTCAATCCAAAGTAAAGTTCTAGAATATAAAGTAATAATAATACAGTGTGTCCTGTGAGAAAATTCTCCAGTTTTCTCAGTTAATTATGGTACTACTGGACATCAGCGGCAAATGAGTGACTTCAACACCTTTCAGAGAAGATTCTCCAAAGGCAAAAACAAACAACTAAAATTTAAGTTTGCCACGAGAAAATGTTGCAGAGAAATTTAGGAATATTTGAGAAGGAAGAGGATATATCAAAGATGACAAAGTTTGTTAAACATTTGGCAAGACTACATACGGCTATAGAATTCCTGTAAAATGTCTATACAATAATAAGTGAATCAAAACAATCAGTAAGAGCTATTTTACCTGGAAGTAAAAGAAAACACCATAAAACTTTTAATATCTTTTTTTTACCACTTTGGTTAAAACTTTGCAAGAGAAAAACAAAAC